CGCGCAGGCTGCGACGACGAGTCCTCATCCAACCTCATCCCCTTCGTCCCCAACACCGTCCCTACCTCCGTAATGGGCGAGGTTCAAAACCACAAAATGAGCGTAGACTCCTTTGCCGACCCTGCGAAGGACAACCTTTTCCGGTGGTTAATCGACGGCACGCCCCACGTCGTAGACTGGAATAATCCTTCCCTTGAGACCGTGCTCGGAGGCTCCCGCTCCATCGGTCCAAACGGCAACGTGTACACCATGGACAAAGAAGGTTGGTACATGTGGTACATCCAATCGACCTCTAAAATCGCCCTTCCCCACCCCATCCATCTCCACGGCCACGACTACTACATCGTCGGTCGCGGCGCAGGTACCTGGGACGGATCTACCAACGGTCTTAACTTCAACAATCCTACTCGTCGTGACACTGCTTTGTTGCCTGCGGGTGGCTACATGCTCATTGCTTTCCCTGCTGATAACCCCGGCATGTGGATTATGCATTGGTAAGTCATCCCTGCACGAAGTGCATCTGAGACATATACTGACTTCGTTCTTCTAGTCACATCGCATGGCATGCTAGCCAGGGACTCAGCCTCCAGTTTATGGAGCGCATGAGCGAAATCAAGGGCACACTGGGCGACACGAGTGTGTTGAAGCAGGGGTGTGATGAGTGGGATTCTTATTGGGCGGAGGGGAGTGCGCCGGATGGTGATAGGCCATACAACCAGACTGATTCTGGTATTTAGATGGGTTTCCGTCTTGGTTGTGGGTTAATGGGGTTTGGTGCATGGCGTTTTCTGGTCGGGCTAGAGGGTTGAGCTGTAACTTCTCGACGTAGCGATATTCTTTTGTATATATTGTTTCGAAATACTATTCTCCATCGACATGTTCATACCCGTGTCTTCCTCCGCGCGATCAATGTGTTGTGGACTACACACTGCGTGTACTGCACGTATACCGCGATGCAGTACCTGAACCCTGCCGGCGACGACGTGGACCATGAGTACAGGTACAGCAGGACCATCACATGGCTCCCGGCAACGTCGTGACCCAGCACACGACATTACTCTAGTACTCACACACCCTGCATTTCCGACACGGCGCACCAAAGATAGCATCCTCGATCCCTCTTAGCCAAAAAACACGCATGCTGCAGGGTCCCAACAAGTCTCGGAAGCGCCATCATGCAGGGAATGCGTGATGGTTGCGAGGGAGGTGGTACATGTACACCTGAAATGGCTGGGCGAGAATGGATATCCCGAAGTGATGCAGGCCAAGTGTTTGTACGAGGGTTGAGGCTCTGCTCGCCCGATTGAAGGGTGCATGGATAGCGATGTGGGCTAGGTGGTTGTGTTCTTACTCAGGATGGAGATGATCGTGTGAGAGATACGATGGCTTTGGTGGTTCACAGGGTTTAAGCCTGTCATATGATGTCGAAGATTTACCTCAATCATAATGTCGAAGACGAGGATGAATGGGAGGTCGAAGGCGTTGAGTTCATCGCATCCATCATCTCAACTCAACTCTCCATCTCCCAAACTAGCGTCTCTCGGCCTTCAAATTGCATGACAGTCCACGCACTTTTCCCCCCGAAAGCCTGCGCGCTCATTGCGAACCAGTCTGTCTCTTCGCTCTCCACCCCATCTCCTCCCTCCATATCCATGTCCACATTCGTATCTTGCGTCCCATTAACCTTCTTCTCTCTCCTCTTAAACCCCTCCTTCCTCACCAGCAGAAAAAGGTCGCGCATAAATGCCGGTCCCATGAAGCCCCTCCACCTGACCGTAACCATACTCCTCTCCCCAACGCCTCTACCCAGATCAGGAACTTCATAGCGCGACAAATGCGGGTTAATATCATCGCCCGCCTCAACCCTCGGAGAACCCAACTGAAGCATGTGAATCCACTCCAGCAACCCCATCGCCTCATCCTCATCATAAACATCCTTCAGCCCCGCAACACTCACCCTCGGTACCATCACCCCACCCAACCTCCTCTCCTCAGGCAAAACATCACACACCCTCGGCGCATGCTTCCCAATCAACTCCCTGCCCTCCCCCAGCGCCTCCCTCGACGTCGGACTCGCATTATAAAACAACCACGTCAGACTCTTATCCAGCACATTCCTCGCGGCCCATTCCAGCCTCCCAAACCCTTTTTTCCCATGCTTCATACTGCTCTCACGTAAATCGTACTCCACAACCCATCGCTGTTTCTGGTGTTTCCTCCCCCCGTCTTCCACGGGTACGCCCTGCAACCCGCAGCGCTCGTACGACGGGCGCGTAAGCTCCATGCGCAACACACCATTGTACAATTCAAATCGATCGTCCAGCAAGGCTCGTCCTTCGCTCAGCATCATGATGTTGCCTTGTTTGATATATGTGTTCAGGAAGTCGGCTTCGAGGATTTCGGAGAGTGACATGTGGACGCGCGCGTATTGGGTAAGGGCGGGGCTGTCGGCGCGGTGGAATTCGTTCTTGACGAGCTCGTACATTTCTTCGGGCAGGATGAGGTCGACCGTGTGGCTGTATTTCTGCGCAGAGAAGGCGGAGAAGGGTTTCTTTTTCGTGGAGACATTTTGCGGGTCGATGTAGCTGGGGAGGACGCTGTGGGAGAAGAAAACTTTTGTGTCGGGGGCGGAGGAGGGGCGGTGGATGTCGAGCATCGTGAGGTAGTATGAGGGAAGCGCGCGCGCAAGAGTGGGTGTGAAGGAGTAATGGTGGTGTGGTGGTGGTAGAGCTGCGCGAATGGTGCGGGCCGAACTTTTGTCGCGTGGGGTTTCGGCAAGACGCGTTGCGCGGGCCTATGACGCATGGGCTGGCGCGTTGACATGTGAGCGGCCATTTGTAGTCTCGCGGACATCATTTTTTAATTTTGAGTATATTTGCGTTACTATGCGTCTCTGATCTAATTAGACTACATCCGTGACTGATGTGTACGGGCAAGTTTTGCGCATGAGCATGAACAGGCACCTACGCACGAGAGCGCATATGATGTAGGCATTGAAATACATTTGCACCACGATAAGGTCGAGCAAGTCATGTTAGGGAACAAAAATAGTTGTCAATGTATTCGAAGCGAGGCGTACATTAGTAGGATACTGACACGAAGCGCAAGGAATAGCCATTCCGAAAATATATGCAACCTTGACACAGTAGTCTGTTACAAAAGAACCCAGTGTACATGACCCATTGATGTATTGTGGAGGGCCCATAAGAAACCGGTAGATGATAGATCTACAACGTGCGTGTTGGGGACAAAAGGTGTACTGACCCCACCGTGTTCTCGGGGTCTGGAAGGCGGAAGGAAATCTGGGTGTATGGTGCATGAGATATGCTAGAAGGAAATGTGATATGTGTGCGTAAGGAGAAGTACGTTTTCAGCAAACGCGTTTACTATTGTTGCAGTAGGAGAAGGGTATTGATAGAGGTATGCGTCCGAGATGTTATCGTCTATTCATGAAGATCGTGTTGAACGTCTCGTAGACCGCGTCTTCGCAATCAAGCGGACAGCAGCTTTCTGAACCGGTCGCGGCTTGCCGATATGATGCCCGGGTCTGAATCTAGTGATAGCGCAGATTGAGCACGGTTTGCCGAATTGCTCCTTACGGGCATTGTGGAATTCTCGAGTACGGTAGAGTTGTAGGGCTAGCGCTTCCACGTCAACACGCAAGACCCATACTGAGCCGGGATTGCCTCTGATGTGGCGGGAGGCGAGAACGGTGGCAGCGGAGATGTGGTATTGCATCTGCACTTCATCGACTGTCTATGAATCTTTGTCAGCTCATGCGGCGTAAGAGGGGAAAGATTACTGGGACGAACGCACCAAGGTCTGACGGTAGAAGCACCCTTCACAAGCCGTAATGATACGTTTGACAAGTGGAAAAGGATAGGTGTCTAATGCCGCAAAACAATAGATACACCTCCGAGGGGCATGTTGCAGCCATAGTCGTCGATATACGATATGACTCATATCTGGATGGACGACACCGTACCTGTCCAGCTGGGCGAACGGCAGATTGAATATGTTGCATTGTCGAACGAGATGCGAGCAGTACCCCTCCACAAACTCATTGCATCGTCTGGACGTGCGCGACAGGGCATTGAAAGGATGTGGAAGTACATGAAGAGAGAAGATATCGGCAGCCCAACGATGACTGTCTGCACCTTGGGTCAAGTCTTCTTCGTCCTTGATGCTCCGCTTCTGCTTCTCCGACACATCGTATCTACTCTGAGTCTCAGTGAGGCCCGGCAGCCGACAGCACGGGTGAATGAGGTAGGACAGAATCTGGTCCACGATCTCGACAGGCAGCGTTTCCAGCTGGCTCAACTTGACGTGGGGAGTTGAAGGTATGACGTTGTGATACTGCAGTGGATTGGGCAATGCGACTGCCCCGCGGTGACAATTTTTAGGCGAGGCTGGAATTGGATGTGGTGGTACAAGATTCTCGTGACTGTCAACCAGCAACCGTCCAGCAGTAGGAAGCGAAGAAGGGACCAGCCCTGAGGCGACGGCAGTCATTGAGGCCATGAAGAGGAGAGGAAATGAGCGACAGAATGGAAACGAGCAGACTCTTCACCTTGCTTATAGAACAGGCCGTGAACCTTATACAGGACAAAGGTCAAAAAGTGACGAGTAGAAGCATGCAGGACAGCGGAGCTTCCCACCAACGAGGGGAGAAGTGTGCAGAAAGCTGCATTGCTGCTGCTGTGATTCGTCTATTGGTCGAGAATCCCGGACAGCTGTGTAGCAGTGTGCAGCCCATGCACATATTTTCGATACTGCATACTGATATATGCTGAGATTGGCGAAGAAGAAGACGACAAGTCGTAGTGCATGTGCACCCAAGTAGTCCGGGTGGATAGCAGACTAGCAAACCGATGCGGCCATCTCCGCCCGGCCCCTTATCGCCTAGCGTCATGTATCATCAACTTACCCGACGGACCACCTTTCGCTCTGTCTGAGACTCGTAACACTGGCCGACAGCGAGAAGCGCGGGAGACAACACCATGGCTGCCCATCCCGACGAGGGACCCGCCGTCGCCCAGCACCCCGCTCCGCCCCCCGCTGGCGCTATCAAGGCCGACCCAGGAGCGGGAGGCGCAACCAAGCCCCGGAACGAGGACGCGCCCGCGCCGGCGCCCGATCAGGACGAAGAGGATGGCGGCGCGTGGGACCAGGCCTCCCTGTACGAGGAGATTCTAGACGAAGTGGAAGCCTTTGAGTACTCGGACGATGGTGAGTCTGGCCACTATGCGCCTTCCACTTCCACCACCATTGACACCCCATAGGCGTAGACACGTGCACCGCCGACGAGGCCCGCCGCTTGCGCCAGCGACTCCATGAGATTGGCGCGAGCGCATTCGTCATGGAGAACATCACGAGCGAGAAGATGACGGCGCGCAAGCTGTGCACTGCCTTTGGCGTCAAGATTCCCAAGTTTCTCGAAGAGGCGCCCGACGAGAGCTTCTACCAGCTGCTGGGGCTGGCCATCAACCGCGAGCTGAACAAGCGGCCGCGGCTGGCGCAGTACAAGACCATCGACGACGCTGCGAAACTGCTGCGCGAACGCAAGAACATCATGGTCATCACGGGCGCCGGCATATCGACGAGTCTTGGCATACCCGATTTCCGCTCCAAGAACACGGGTTTCTACTCGCGGCTGCGCGAGATGGGCTACGACGAGCCCGAGGAGGTCTTTGACATCCACAACTTCGACGAGAACCCCCGCACCTTCTACGCCCTCGCCGGCGACATCATACCCGATCTCGAAAAGTGGACGCCCACGCACGAGTTCATCCGCCTGCTGCAGGACAAGGAGAAGCTGCTTACCAACTACACGCAGAACATTGACAACGTGGAGGCACACGCAGGCATACGCAAGGAGAAGCTCATCCAGTGCCACGGCTCCTGGGCGACGGCAACATGTCGGAAGTGCAAGTTCAAGGTCCCCGGCGAAGACATCTTCGACTGCGTGCGCGCGCAAAAGCCCGCCGAGTGCAAGCGCTGCAAAGACGAAATCGCCGCCCAGCCCAGCAAGAAGCGCAAGCGGACTTCCAACGGCAACGGTGCCCGCAAGAAGCGCTCGAGCGACGAAGACTCAGAGTCCGACGGCGCCTTCGACATCCCACAGCCTGGCATCATGAAACCCGACATCACCTTCTTCGGCGAAGCCCTGCCCAACGATTTTTTCGACCGCCTCAAGGACGTGGACAAAGACAAGGTCGACCTCGTCATCGTCATGGGCACCTCCATGAAAGTCGCGCCCGTATCCGAAATCCCAAACTTCCTCCCCCGCGACATACCGCAGATCTACATCTCGCGCGACCCCATCCACCATATCAATTTCGACATCAACCTGCTTGGCGACTGCGACGTCGTGGTTGCGGAGTTGGCGAGACGGGCGGGGTGGACCCTGGAACACAAGATGATACCTGAGGGGCAGACAACGGAGGTGGAATTGACGGATGCGGTGGATCATATTTCTACGGTCAAGGTTCATGTTCCTGTTATGACTACCACGAATGGTCATATCAACGAGCAGGCTTGAGCTTAACGACAGACGACAGACGGCATGGCGTTTGAGCATACATAACAAATGGCGTTGTGAATGGTGTTTATATGGATATCGGTTTCGACCGCATGGACGGTGACCCCGTAGGATGGGCTCAAGATTCACAACATGGAGTTTCTCATAGGCTTAGGGCGTTTGTGGTATGGATACGAGAGGAGAGGGATGAAGTGGCGGCATCAGAGATACCATGGACGGACCCTGCGATCATATCGGGGAAGCATAGCCGCAGTCTCCTTGTGTTTATATACTTTCCTTCTCGTTCTTGCATGTAGACTTCCTGAACAAAATTCAAGTTCAGTTGCAATTAGGATGGAAACGCACTATCGCAATACTGATCCTCGCAGCACAGCCATTGGATAAATGATACTTGATCTGTACGATGATGGTTCTGACGTGCTTCCCGGGTCGTGCCTGCCGTGCGGCGCGGACAGCGTACTAGCCTCCCCGCCTCACCCCGGGGCCCTTCGGTACGTCCCTTCGCACCTAACCTCACACTCCATCGACACTCTAGTATTATAACCATAACATCACAGTATCAGAGTTTACGAAATTCTCAAAGCCGTCACGTCGTAGCGCACGCGCTGCTTTCATCGCGTCATCGGACCCGCTCCTGCCCGTCCAACCCTACAACCGACCGCGAACAGCTCTATCACACGACACGCGACGATGGAACCACACAATGTATACGCAGAACAATTACGTCGACGATGACATCGGCGAAGACTGCAAAGCCTTTACAGCGACGTTGTACTGCAGTATGCTGTAGACTACAGCGACAGTACCGACAAGCAGGCCTAGCAAATGTTAGTTATAAACCATGGTCATTTGATGGACAAGGTCATGGATATACACACTCAGGAACCCGAGTAGGGCTGTCAGGAACAGGCCTAGGATAGCCACAGTCAGAGCATTTCGTTCCGACGTGTGCCTCTCGAACCATGCGACGATGCTGTTTGCTGGCGGCGGATGGTTTACTATCCTCAACAACGTCGCTAAGCGTCCTCCCAGATACTTGTACTCGAACTCATCTGGCAATGTACGAATATGCCTCTCGAAGTACGTCGCTTTGGGATCGAAACCGTACTTTTCGGTGAATTTCTCGAGCGACTTAAACGACCGTCCATCGTTCGGGAACAGAAGGAACTGTATGGAGTCTAGGACCTCCAACAGCAGCTGTGGTGGCAACGTTCCCCTGTGGAATGTGAGCTCTGGAACGACAAGGTATGCATCGGGGTGAGCTACTTCTCCAGACTTTTCCGAAATCCGAGATCAATATCTTCATCACGCGAGCGGTAGAGATGCGCTTTCAGGAAACCAACCTGACGGAAGACATGAAGGATGCGACGCTCCGGATCGAATATGAGATGTTCGGCTAGGTTGTTGGTCGGTCGCAGCCTTACTTTGTATCGCTCTTTCAACTTCCAAGCTTTCAGCCTGCCTCGCTGTGCCAGTGCATCCTGGGATTCTTGGCGGGTCTTTCGGCTTTGGGTCGATGGAGGAAAGCAGCGCTCAACAAAGTTGGCGAAGGACTGCTTCTCCCCCCATGTCCGAGGCACGTAATCGCCCACCTTGCGACTGCTTTGCTTCGAGGCGCAGTCGATCATCAGTGACGCTTTCACCAAGGCTTGTATTGCATAGTCCCGCGCTTCGGGGGCCAGATTGTTTGCGAAAAGGCTGTCGAAATCTGCCTTGGTCTGCATTACGTTGCCGATAAGCTTGTTGAAGAACGAAATCACCTCCGCGTGACTGGAATACATCGGTGTCCCAATCCTTACTGCGTAATCGCCGGGCGATCCTCTGGTCAACGCTTCGTAGTGTTTAAAGTACACCTCATGCTTTTCCGGTTCCTTCGCAGCCTCGTCACTGAGGAAGCTTTCCGCAATGTCTCTCTTTTCGGCTTGTGTCGGCGGTTCCATGATAGCTTGGTATACTGTCACCAAACTGCGTCAGAGCCATCCGCCTTATACTGCCGACGTTTATAGCCTGAGGTCCCCCTTCTCGCCAACTCATGGCGCATTTGGGCCATCCGCTTCTTTGCTGGTGGCTGTGTGGACGCCACCATATGCGGCCTCTTCAGCTGATGCGTGATCCCTGCGAAGTCCTCCCAACGTCATAGGAGTCGAGCCTGCTGCCACACTTGGTTGCAATGACACGCTGCGCCATCTCATGTGCGCCACTTTCCTGCTTGCACTCGCTGGTATCGCATTCCCGGTATTCTCTCAAACCGCAGCTCCCTCGTTCCCCAACCCTTATACTTCACCCCTTCCTTCGTGAACCACGGGCGACCTTTTCTAAATCACACAAGATCCAGGGAAAAAAATTGACTTTCTCCTCACGCTGGGGCTCTCATAGATGTGAGAATGGCTACATTGACCCCACCACCACCAGGCTCACCTCCCACGACATCTAAGTCGGCTTCTGGACAGCATGGGCAGTCTCGGTAAATGCTCCCACAAGCTAAAGAAGGCTTCGCTGACGAATGAAGGCGCTCTCCATCGGACACGACAATGATGTCAAACGCGCGCGCTTCTCATATACCGAGTACGAGTCGAGCTCCGTACACGGCTGGCTCTCGAGCTGATCCCACACCTGCGGCTCCACATTCATCGACGAACCCGCCCACTACTCCGACCCTTGATCAACCCGTCAATACACACCCAGCCAATCCACTCAGAGATCCCAAACCACTTCTGGGATGTCAACTTCAGCCGACTATACATGAATATGAGCACTTTCCGCGCAGTCCTCCACACTACGTTGCTGCTCAACATGTCATGAGCAACTTCGGAGATGCCATGTACAAGACGAAGCACACCTGGAAAACGATGACTTTGAAGACGATGAGGCTTTCCGATTACGCTTCACTAGTAAAGTCCAGATTCGCCATGTGTAGCACCATAGGTGCACCGCCGGAGCCTGCAATCGTAGTGGAGTGCCCAAACCGAATACTCAGTCGAGTAAAGAAAGTACTGCAAAGTCGCAATATGAAGAACCAGTACGCTGCTGGTGTCACTCCTGGCCTGGCATTCGCGGTCTACTATTGTGGTAGAGACGATATTGCCTTCGAACTCAGATGGTGCACGAGCACTGTCACTCTAAATAGGCCTGAGCAGTCTCTTTCTTTATGTGGAACTCGCATGTCGTCGATTCAGGATATCAAGACACCACCTTCAGGTGACGCAACGGTAGCCTGTCTCCTCGAGGTCAAGGGCGATCTTTATGCTCTTGGTCCTGCACATCTTCTCACCCGAAAAGACGCTTCCAAGTCTCAGGAGCAGTTGCTCGCTGAGTTGCTACAGATGGACGAAGACGAAGACGAAGACATCGCTTGGGAGGAAGATGAAAAAAACGACAGCGACTACGACGAAAGCGACGGCGGTTACGCCTCAGCTAATGACATCATATCCGATAAGGATACGCTTAACAGTGATACAACACCACCCGATAGTCTTTCTCCTTCGCCACAAGAAAGCACTCACGATCCAAGGGATGAAGGTGTCACAGTTTTGTTTCCGGGCCCAGATGACCTACAGGAGGACAACGCGGATGGCGATTGGGCGGTTACACTCATTCAGAAGCCTGAGCAACAGCTGCCGAACTTGTATTCTGTGGAGCAGCAAATCTCTGGGCAGGAATCCCCGAAGCAGGAAGCTCCTAAGCTCCGACACATAGTCGAGTTTGCGAGTGAGCCATCAAAAGACGATACCGAGCCTATAGTGGAGAGGTCCGTCCATATACTCACCTCTTCCTCGACAAAGCAGGGCAAGCTCCTCCCAGGGTTCGCCAACATTTCCGGTCTAAGCGCACGCGGGCACTGCAACGTACATATAGTGGCGATCGACGAATCCGATAGTAAGTACCCCCTTCCTGGCGGCTTTTCTCATCATCTGACGCCATGATATAGGTATCGTAGCCGGCGACTCAGGGTCTCTTGTTGTTGATGCGCAAACTTCCCTGGCCTATGGTCATGTCGTGGCCACAAGTCCGCAAGGCTATGCCTACATTGTGCCTCTGTACACAACAATCCGTCAGATGAAGGCATTCTTCGGGACCGCCAACGTCCGTTTGCCAGAACCCCTACATTTGCTATCCCGAGTAGCACTTCACTACGTTACCACTAAGCATTTCTGCCAAGCTGAAGAAGCTGTCATCGCGTTGACCGATCTTGTGCAAGATGTTTGCAACTCTCGCCAATGGGAGCGACTAGCCCTATGGATCAGGATTTCCGCGGCACGAACTAACTTGCTTGATATTTGGGATGACAAGCTGGCACAACTCTTTGTAAGTCCATATTAGACGATATTTGTATGACTGTGTCTAACGAACTGAAAGTCTGACAAATACGAAAACCAATCTATCAGGAAGTGGTTGACAGTGACGCATGCCTTTCGGGAGCGGTTTCGAGCCGAGAACCTCAGCGTAGATGAATATCGCTTCACACCCCACCCCAAGCCCTTCTACGACTTTGCGTCAGCAGTACTGCCACAGATTCTGGAGGAACTCAGCGCGCCCTACAACACGACCTTACGATCGTGTCGAACGTGCCGACATTCTCGCTATGATATCTGCGTCATCACTCCGCTTCTCAATTCCGGTCCCGACGGCATGACTTCCAACTCTTCGATCATCAAAGCAATCATCACTCAACTGTTGTCTGCATTGAACGTCACCTCTTCTAGCCGATTTACTCGGCGTTCTGAGCTCCGACGTCGGTTTCCGTTTACGGGGTATCCCAACGGCCTGCAGAATCTAGCAGTTGTCCTCGACATTCACCTAACCTTGACGGTGGCATGCTCACAAATCGACCTCCAGCGAACCAACATCGTGCCCTTCAACGAGCGGCTTGAGTTCCTCGAACCGCTTACAAAAGGCACGCTCGCATCTGTATACCGCGCGACCTCTTGGTGTGCGGATGCAAAGGGAAAGATCGAGATCGCGGTCAAGAAGGTCTCGAAGAGTACCACCACTGTGGTTCAATGGCTAAACGAAGAGCGAATTCTCCAGCAACTGCAAACATACAACGATCCGCATATTGTCGAGTTGTTGACCTCATATTGCACCTTGGACAGCTACGCACTCGTCTTCCCGCTGGCGAACGGCAACATGGATCAACTCATGGAGCGTGATATCCGTGCCTCCAGCCTTGAGCTTACAGCGACATGGGTAGTGAAGCAGATACAGGGCTTGGCTAAAGCACTACAATACCTCCACACCGGGGATGAGCATACGAAGATCTTCGGGAGACATGGCGACATAAATCCTAGCAACATCTTGTGGTACAACGACACTGAGGAAGACGGGATACCCCCGTTGGGCACCCTGAAAATTGCCGATTTCGGCCGTTCGGAACTGCGCTCCCTAGGTGAAAGACGACCAAGCATCCGCAAGGCTCTTTGTGAAGAAACCCCACTCCATTGTATCGATTACTCATATGGCACTTATGCTGCTCCGGAGTGCGAGTTACCTACAAGCGTCTGTCCTGATCGCCGGACCTCTGACATCTGGAGTCTAGGCTGCGTGTTTCTGGAATTCCTTATCTGGACTGTGGAAGGCGCAAAGGAAGTAAGGCGACTGCACCAGAAGCTTCGCTCTGACGTACCAGGGCGTGGGACGTCGTTCTGGCACCTAGAAGTGTCGACACATCAACTCCTGTTCTCTCTCAACCCTCCGATCAAAGAGTATCTAGAGAGGCTATCGCAGTATGCGAAAGACAATGCTAAGCTACGGGCTGCCGTTGATCTTCTTGTCTACGGAGGTGTTCTGGACCCAAATCCTCACGAGCGTCCGACAGCGAAGCAATTGGGAGAAGAACTGAGGAGCATCAGTATCGAAATTGTGCATGATCACACCGTCGCTAAACGTCCTGTTTGGACACGCCTTTGGACCTACACGCTTGTAGACCCACCGCAACGCCGTCATACTGTGATGAGGAACGGTTACGACTCCAATATCGTGTTTGGCACACTGTTACTGCCATACCCCAATATGGCGGGTGCAGCATTCCTCGAGAACGAAATCACTATCGATTCGGAGCATTACCAGGACATGGACGACGAATCGCTGTTGCATGAGTATGATAGCGACCTAGACAGCAGTAGTAACTGCAGTCTTGACTCGAAACGAACATGTCCTTACTGCGCTCTCGAAGCTCGCCCCGTTGCTCTCAAAGCCCACGCCAGAGCCGTACATCGCAATCACACAATCCACGAATGTCCAGACTGTAAAGAGCTCTTTGCAGATATGAAGCAGCTTAGGCGGCATCAAAGACAGCTAGGGTTAAGATGTCTCAGCGCGTCAACGGTCGATAACAAAGGTCCTTTCGGAAGAGAGCCACAACTCTGTTCGCGACTGCCTCGCACCGACAGCGCGACAAGCTTGCGTGGGCAGCACGTGTTCGATGATACCTCTGTCCGATCGAGTGTGCTTTCAACCGAGTACCCTACCCAGATGCGCAGCGGCGGACTGGCGCATAGTTATCATCATCATGATGATGCAGGCGGCCCATATGTAGAGTAATTATTTCCCGACTATCTCTTTACCTTGCCCTGTATAATCTGCCGGCGTTTCTGGAGGCCTCACGGGCGCTCAGCGGTAGCGATGGATGGTGTTGTTTACTGTTTATTGGTACCTCTATGTTACTTTTGTATATGCGCGTTTCATCCTGTTGTTTCGGTCGACTTGTGGCGGCGTTCTCCTGGGCTCATTGGTTTTGGTTCGCTATAGAACCCAGCGTAAGCAACCAGGATTGGTGATTTTGCAATGTACTACTATTCCAGTTCAACATATCACACCTCAATTACTCAGTCTACGTGTGGCACACAAGAAATAGAGAAAGTAAAGAAAACAAAGCATCTCGTTAGTACATGGCGTAGGAAATCATGTCTATCATCATAACGTCGTAGTTCCGTCCAACCCGTTCACTCATCCTTAAAAGCCTCCAGCCCATTACGATCCAGGAACCTTGTCAGTCTATACACCCCATGATTGTCCAAAGTCTTAAACTCACCCCAACACTGCAAAGTCAGGAATCTTAAACTAGCAAGCGCCTTATTTATCATCTCAGTTGCGTCTTCGGCGTGGCTCGTTTTGTGTCTACTTACCGCCATCGGGCGTCACTGTCTTTTCCATTCTCCATATACTCAATGCTTCACTTCACGCCTCTTTCTTTCCTCATCAAGACAAAAGTTCCATTTTCATGCACGTGTCAGCCTCGCTCATTCTATTGTTCGCATTCGACGTCACTGATTGTACGTCACAAGACTGCAGTCACTACGCGCTCTCAATCCTATTCCCCGTCACTGTCGATCTACAGAAGTTTCCTTTGCCGTTTTGCCGCTGTTCTCACTTTGTGAGCCAATCAGGACGTCGTCGTCGTAATGCGCGCTTTTGGTCCGTGCTTCTTGTTGTTTTCGCGCTCCTAAAGCCGCCTTCACTTGCGCCTTCACCTCACCAGAACAGGCCATATTACACGCCTAGAACGTTCTCCAGGCAACAATATGCTCACAGAATACGTCAGTCACCTGGTATTCAGACGCGCTAGTGCCGACTGCCGGTGATCTGCCGGCTCACCCTCTGTCTATATAAACCCCCCATCCCCCCGCCTCTCTCCCTCTTACTCCCCACTCGCTCACTTCTCCAACAACTCAAGTTTACTATCCCCAACAAACCTCAGTACCATGGCCGCATTCCTCCAAGTAAGTACTTCCTTTCCCTTCCTTCACTTCACTTCAGTCTTGGCTAACATTTTCAGACATCGGCCTTTACTCATGGTGTATGACATCATCCATCAACAATCATCATGAGTAACAACAACATCAACCCTTCCTCACTCGACTGTCGACAGGCAACATGACTCCACTTCACTTCCAACTTTCAGCCTCGCCTTCAACATCACCGCCTCGCATGCCTCACACCTACCCGCCTCGGTCCAACTTACCTACCTCACTTCGATTCGACCTTCAACTATCTTGACACCTATGTCACCTTCGGTCTACCCTACTACCACATCGAACTCGCATCGTCTTACTACATCGGCTCATTGCCTCTACTCATCGACATGCACCACCACCGACGGCACCGCGGCACAGGCACCAACCTCTCTGGCACCGGCTCGATTCCCCTTTGACTGTCGACAGTCTCACGCCACTCCCGATCGTATGCGCGTCGCGAAAGTCAAGTTGTGGCACAGGGATGCAGGCCAGGCTGCATGGTTGGCCCTTGAGTTGGTAGCGGTTTGGATCAGAAGGACTGGCAAGAGCGGAGGATCAGTGGTGTTGGGTTCAGTCACTGTCACTGTTGGACACTTTCACATTGGATGTTGATGCCATCTCGAGAGTGCCTCGAGACAACAAGGTTGGAGGACAGACGGTCAATGGCGCTTGCGCTACACTGGGCCTCTTGTTGTTCTCTTGGGTGTCTTCGGACCCCAGGATGGTTGATCATCTTATCTGAACCAGATGGCGGCTTCTTCGGAAGTTCAGGTCAATTCTGGTGATGATAGTGGAGTGTCGGCATGTTCGACGAGCACTGTTCTTGACATCGCTGCTGGTGAGCCTTGGTTTAGTGGATGGTTGGATTTGATGGAGTCGATGGTGGTGGTTGGATGGCGCAAGGACTTGGTGTTGGTTGGATATCTTCTTGGTCGGCTGGATGGAATATGGACTTCTTGTATGGGTTTCAACTTCAGGGTTTCAACTGTAGTGGTGGTTTAATTTAGCTGGCATCTTTGGGTCCTCAATCAACCAATTTTGTCATTACATCTTGTTCCCTTCTTAAGTTCGTGAGTTCTTACTTGTTTGACTTCTTACCTTTACATCTTCTGCCTTATGCATTCCACATTGCCTTTGCCTACAACACATTCCAAATGTTTTGTTAATACTCACCTTCTAAGGCCTTGGCATTCCTCGCTATCAAACTCTAAAGTAGATATTCTTGTATGCATCTTAGGCAAAGGCGTGCGCGACTCTATGTATTGATCTCTTACGTCTCTCTTAACCCTACTTAAGTTGTATTCTTCTGCAGAGGAAGAGAGTATGAGCGCTACACAGCAGGTAAACAGTGCGCACATGTGCAAAGCAGGAAACATGTACTAAGCAACTAATGCGCGCATTGCGCCTTCTGCCATGACTTCTCCCTTCCACCTCGCTAGTCTAGACTCACACTCTCTCTCCTTCTTCTTCTTCTTGCCTGTCGCCCTCTCACACAAGCCATATAATCCCTATCCCGCGCTACCAACCCTCCCAACCCCATCGTCCTCCACTCCTCCTCCAACGCCTTCTCCGCATACGCCATTCTACTCTCTTCTGAGCGCATACTTCCCGGCGTCTTCTTCTTCTCCTTCTCCTCCCTATCTCCATCCCCATTGCGCGACGCATCCGAACACATGTACCACCCTACAGTGGGCTCATACGTGATACCCAAATGTTTGACAATGCGGTCGTGTTTCGCGCGGCGATTGCGCATATAGCTTTCGTCCTGCGCTGCGTCACCGAGCCGGGATCGTACGTGTGCGGCGCGGGTGCTGACGTCGGGCGCGGAGAGCATGATACATGCGGCGCCCATGATGGGGTAGGGTGCTGTTACCAAAGGAGGGAGATCGAGGTGGAGGGGAGAGGGCGTGAACAGGTCGAGTTTAGAGAGCTGTGTGGATGTCATGGCTTGTGTCATTGTCTGGCCGGTATATTAGCATTACCGTATATACGTAAAGAAGCGTTGAGATCCCCAGAGCGTACATACCATCTTTTCATACTCCTTTTTGTCACACGCCAGACAACATGCTACGCTCTTGTATAAACACGCTTTCCGCTGTGTCTTCTTCTTGCAGAAGTAACACATGTCGCCCAGCCATTTTCGACGGCACGTGTAGATGCGCGTATTCTTCGGTAAGACGATGTCGGCGTGGCGTTTGAGGAGGTTGCGCGCGTATTCTTCGACGATGGCGTTGAGATGCTTGTTTGTTGTGGCGAGGGTGTTGAGCGGGTAGGTGGAGAGCGTGGGGTTGAGGTTGGGTTCTGTGTAGGAGAGGATGGTGAAGAGGATCTCTGGTGGGAGGGTGTCGAGGTCCGGCATCTTGGGTGGTATTGCGCGACGACTTGGGAGTTTCTGGTGTTGGCGATGTTGCGATGCGATCATTCGAGAACGGCTTTAAGCGGCGGGGTTAAGCCATTGGGCGTCTTGGCGCACGATGCGCGTCGTGAGGCGCGTTTCTATCACCTCACGACGACTGTCAATGTTCATGAGTTAATTGGAGAGAGAATCGTCAGCTCAGCACACGCTTCTATTAATTTGCCCTCTAGTAGGCCTCCCATGCCCACGTGCCACGTAGACATGCCTCAGACGCACCGGGACATGACCGAAAGCGAACCTCTCAGAAGTACGGCAGGACTCACCTGGATGCCGTCTATCACTGCCTCAGCGAGGACAGACTGATGGACTTCATTGAGAGCATGAGGAGATGAAAGAACTGTCGATGTATAGATGGAGAAGGGTTGTGAAGCTAGTGAGTTCCATTGCCGACCCTACCTCATTCCAGTTTCATTTTTCTGTTGGATTGTTTGCGATCCACCATCTTCAACTTCATCCGCTGATTGATGCCAGTTGCCAAATACTTCACTTGAATACGATCGATTATGTCGCACACATGTACCCTCTCGACCCACCCGACGGTCACCCGCACGAGATTTAGTGCCGCCCACGAGCTTGGACACAACGAGGATATGCTTGGACAGACGTAAAACTTAGCGAGTTGGACCGGGGTCGTCCTAGCCCTACCCGTTGATTCTCCTGTTGTGGGACAAGGCGGCGTTGGGCTTCGTCATCAGAACGAATGGACTTGGCTGGGATCAGTGCTCGGATCAAGACGAGTAAGATTATATGAAGGCGTGGAGGATCCAATCAAGGCTTTGAGCGACTGTCCTACCAATGCTGCATGCAAGGGACTCCTTCTCAGGCACTCACGTCGGCAAAGATAGGCGGAGGGCATGCCTCCAGCTTACTCTAGTCAAGCGAGCCAGCCCGCAGTACTGGGAACGAGGCTCTACGGATTTGTCAGTGCGGCTCAACGGCACGTCGCGGTACTCAGATTGGAACTATGCCTTTCTAAGAGCAGCGTGTGTGGAGTCTAGCTGCCACTTGCTGCAGCCAACTTCTTACCGTGAAAACGGGCAGTGCAGTTACGACATCCTTGCAGCAGGGCTGAGTAGTGGAGAACAGGAGCCGGCTGGGCACTGGCAACTCATTTCGATGGCAGGGCAGAAGCAACGCCGCTTTATACCACATATACCCCGTTATAACCTTCTCAGCTCGTATAGTGGAGAGCCACACGGCGCTGCCATCCCACGCGAAAGCCAATCCAGACACGAGTTACATCATCCACGGGATGAAGGCATACACCCTCTTCACCACGTTGACGGTCAGGATTGGTAGAGTTGCTCTTCCCGGTCTCTGGCTCTTCATTGGCTACCGAGGTCATCTCGTCTTCAGCCCTGGTGCCACGAGATATGATCAACCTGCATCCTGCATCCATGATTGGATCCGCTAAGCCTGAGCAACGGTCTCATTGTCGGTTCACCGAACCAGGTGGGCCTCAGGTGGGCCAACCGAGTAGTCACAGAAGGAGGCTAGCAACCAAACTGTCGGAACTGCACGGAGCCTCCCTTTCGGCTCGGCTCATCATCCTTCAACATACACTGCCGTGTTTCAAGAAGGCTTTGCTAGGCGTAGGAGACAATTTTGAGCTAGTGGACCGTCGATGTGTGTGACAAAAAGCGGTAAGTTCCTGGGTGCCCGACCAATCAAATAGACCGCCCAGCCCCAAGCACGCCTACGCCCTTTTGCATGCGAGAATTGCTCATGTGCGCGAAGAGCTGTCTCGATTCGATTTGCCACATATTGGTAGCTACGCGACGTGAGAAGGGCCGACTCCCTTCCTCGAGAACCTATGCCTCCACCCTAGCGTTCCCGCGGGACGAGACCCGCTGGCTATCGTGAGTCAGACAGCAAGTGGTTTGATTGAACAAGTCCTCGAGAACGAATGTCAGAAATTGCGTGTAACACGCTCCTTCTGGAGGCGGCCCGCATGCTTCAGGGGGCACAGGGCACAGGGGCAGGGGGGGTGCCTGAGGCAACTAGATTCATGGTGGATTGGAGTGAATACCTAACAGAAGGACTCCCACTGGACGTGTCCTCGTCTTCTTAAACTGTCTTCGTGCCCGCCATCACTCTCTCACTCCCGCCTTTCACGCTCACACTCCAAGTGACCAACAGACTCCTCCATCATTCATCTTTATCTAACACCAGACTGACCCGCCACGCATCAGGTGACTGGCCCAAAGCTCATCCACTTCTCACACGCCCCTGTGCCTGATCGCATCCTTCAGCCGCAATCTCTCGATCTAGGCTATCCCTTCCCTTCATTGACTCCGCTTTCAGCAGTCACTCGCTACACACAACGTCTTCACGCATCCAACTAGTCCACTCAAGACAGAATGAGCGGATCACAGCGTCGCTCTGGCGGTAGCTCCAACGGGCCAGGCCGTAACGGCGGTGGCAGTCGTAGCAGCAGTTCTCGTGGTCACTCATACGCAAACGTAAGATTATTTCATTACATGCGTTGGAACTCGCCGCTAACGAGACGCAGTCTACCTCCGGAGGAGGCGCACCTACTCCATCAACACAAAACAACGGCTACGATCCACGAAATGATTCCGTATACGCACAAGTGCAACGATCATCATGGCCCTACCACGCGTACGCCAACGGCGCGACAGACAACCAAGCCCAATCCACCGCACCTCGCTCTCCAAGACGTCAAGTTCAAGGACCTCGCGCCTCCAACGGTCCATATCAGTTCGAGACAGATCACTCTTCCTCTCATTTGCGCGTCCAACGTTACCAAATGTCCGAGAGTGACTTCCACTCATCGCCGCCACCTCACGCGTCCTCGTCGGCGGAGCGCCGTGCGCAGCCGGATCCGTACCAGCCTCCCATTGGTGGTAATCCTTCCGCTTCAACTGCGCCCCAACGCTCCGGGCCCTACGACGCCGTCGGCTACATCAGACGTGACGGTGCGGTGTTCGATCGGGATGAAGTGTATGAGGAGTATAGGCCGTACGACCCATACGCTCATCAACATGGACAACAACGATTTAACGGAAGCAACTGAACATCGGATTGAATGACAACACGACGGTACGATACAGGATGAGAGAAGAATTGGTTTCCTTATATTTATGTTTATGGTTGTTAAGGGCGAGTGGGGGCCGACTGGCTGAGGTTCCAGCCCCAGGCGTCAATTTTTCGGCAGTCATCTTGGGTTCACCTCAGCCTACTATCTCAGCACTTGGTGTATCATTTCTCACGCATGATGATGTTGGAGTGAAAATCCTCCAGCCTCGTTGGCTGGTGGGCTTTATCGCCCTCAGCTCGCGACTACCCTTCCATCTAGACTGTCTGGCACAGTCGTTGTCTCAGTGTACTCGTACACAATTTTTTGTAGCGCGTTAGCAGGCAGGTAGTTTTGGAGTTTGGTGTGCATTTTCAATATGAAAGCTCGTCGAGATGAACTTCAATTTCCCCTCTGATTGCTGTGAACATAGCGGAATTCTTCCATTCCCACCTTCAGCCGGAATTACTTCCGAGGTTCAGTTGAGCCGCATTCTACTCACAAATTCGCCCGTTCGTGAGGTTGACACGTCCGTCACTCACCGGTATGTCGATCTCGATTTTTCGCAACATCGCTTACACTCACCGGATTTTAGTCGCCGAACAGGACTTGGTGACCGGAAATGCATGCATGGGGATAGTGAGACATGCTGCTGATCTAGGTTTGGAGGCAATAACAGGAGATGAGGACCATTGTGCGTTGGAGCTCTGACAGCCAGTCGGTCGTAGGAGGACTCCAGCGCTTATGCAATGAAGTATCCAGTCCTCCTTGAAGGCGTCGATGGGACGCGCGTGCAGAAGTCGAGTACTCGTTCAGCCGAGCTCACCTTTGATTTGAGTTCATCGCGATTGACCAAGGACGTGTATCCGTAGACGTCCGTGTTGTTCTCCTGCATCACGGCGATCATACAGCAGAACCCTGCTCTATTATAGCTGCGGAGCATTGTTCAGTATGTCGGCAGGCAAGTGCTTTGGCTTTCTGCATGCGTTCTTCTTACCGATCAGAGGCGATTCGATTGTGCCGACGTCGCGCCGAGGACGGAGGCATGTCACGCAACCAGCGGAGTGGGCGACGCTGCCGTTAGACGAATCAAGCTTCGATGCGGCTTTGAGGCTACAATGCAACTGGACCCGAGTACATGAAGGGCACACATGTCATGGGCGCTTAATAGCGGTCGGGAGCAGCACTGTGGTAGTATCTGCTAGTGATTGGCGTTCCGTAGGGGCGGCGGAGGGCACGGCGAAGGGCACGGCGAATGCTGTGATACAGATGTCGCGGTGGGAGGATGGTTCGCCAGATCGAGGCGTAAGCTGCAGGCCAAAACCCAATGGATGCGGCTCTGGTTGGAGTCGCATATGCGACCACAGGGTCTTGCCTGTCAGACGTTTGACGGATGTCGTACGCTATACGGTGGGCCAGCCCCAGATCCGGGTCGAAGGTGCTGTTGCATTAGTCCTGTTAGGTAACGTCGAGCCTAGATCAAGTCGTCGGCCAGATTCGATACTTCTACATGCACGTTCATCGCGCAGTATGTTCCGCGCAAAGGCGTTGTTGGCCGAGTTCGTCGCGGTGGCCGTTCCAACTGACTCGACAAAGTATGGAGGCGGGTGGTGACGTGATGTCGCGCCAAGCGATTAGATCGCGCTAGCACCCGCCAAACACGGTCCGCGGGGGCCCCGCTCTTGACAGGCACGTGACAGCCAACATCGGAGACACAAGAGCGCTCGCGATTTCTTCATCATACCGGCATGTTTTGCGAGCTTTGCTTCATCTTTCGATCGATCGGAGGACTTTGCGCGCTAACAGTGTGCAGTCGGGCAGCAATGGAGGACATGTGGAGGCCGCCCGCAACACGCGTAAGATACCACCTGGGCATTGCCTAGATGACGTTAGGGCTGAAGCTCGATTCAGGTTGGCTCTCCTGCATGCGGATGGGGAAATCGCTACCGTGCAGGTAGATGCATACCGCACTGATCGCTCTAGGACTTGTCATGAGCTGCAACTGGAGGGGGGAACGCTCGTGCCGTCTGCCTCTTTCTAGCTGACTCGCGCCCTCGCCTCTCCGCCCAGCCGTCCATGCTTCGTGTTGAGCACGACGTGTCGCTTGGAGATCAGACCGAAGTTTCGTGAAGCGCCGCTTCGTTGATTGGCGCCTCGATCTATACCCAAAGTGTGCGGATTGAAAAGATGCTGGTTCGCTGGGGGCCTGATGCGTCGGCATCATTGGTGACCGAGCGTGCAGTACGTATTCCCGATGTCTGAGATCTGTTGAGACTACAGGCTCGTCTGGCCATTATCAAAACCGGTAGACTCACCGGTCGGCAGTCGCTGGAGCACCCACAGTGTGGCTCAGACTCCCTCTCGAGGCAGACTCCCAGGCAGATTCTGGAGATTCTGCCCTGTAGTGCTCTCTTGAATTGGCAATCCGTCGGCCCCATCGTTGCGGCTGTGCTGTTGAGAGAAAACAGTTTCGAAGGCCGAATATCAGGTGGATATATCTGAAGCTATGCCTCTAACTTTCTTGACGAAGTTTGCGCTTCCAGAGCCTCGATGTTGTTCCCCATTGTTTTTGCGAACAGAGCCGCACCTTTACCAATTCGGTTTCGACAACCAATCAACCCCCACGCCCGCCACGGAAACTGGCTCACAACACCGCGTGTTCCTGCCGGACTCTCGAACTCGCCAGCGAACAACATATCGAAGTAGCCGGCACACTTCTTCCGGGATGCATGTTCTATCGCCCGCCGCCGGTGTCCAGGGATAGCCCCGCTTCACTTTCCGAAAGTTAGCGCCATCCTTGTTGCCCGTCTCTTGTTCTGGATTGCGGTGAGGGTAAAGCCCTTTTCGACTATGACCGACAACCCCATTCCTCCACATCGGAACCAACGCTTGGCGTCGCCTTCTTTCTTGCCATGTGTAGGCTCGCCGACGCAGCCAATGGACCTACACCAGCTGGACGGCCCGAGACATCCAAGGGCCTGAGGCAACAAGAATAGATGAACGTTTCATCTGTACCCAATCCCTCGACACCGATACTATCGAAGCTAGGACGCGTTCTAGTCTTGGCCGTTGCTTGAGCTGTCCACAAGCTCGTACACATACACTACAGTTCAGGGCTTCTTAGTGCGACGCAGAGTCCTCCAGACCTCTTGCCTTCTTTTGATCTTTCGAGATCGAGGCCACTGCCAGCGACATGGTGTATCGGGCTCCTGGATTGTCCTTCCAATGGCATCGAGCTTCCGGGTTGGAGGCATTTATCGCGCCGCCGGTTCATAACGCGCGGTCCTGGTGGGAGTCGGCAGTCCTGAAGGAACTTACACGATTCCTCCTGGCCATGACGTCTGCATGTACTTGGACTCAATAAAGTCCTTCAGTATTGCGGATGCTCTTTGCCACATAATTTCGAGATCACCCCCCGCATTCCGAACATGCTCATTCACATCGAGGCAAAACGTCGCTGGAGCATTACGTACGTGAGTCCAAGATCCCATCAGTGGCTGTTGTTCCAGCTGAAGTCCACTGTACTGATTGAGTTCCAGCATCTCGACATCTCGGCATAGATTGGCCGACAAACCAACGACGCCAAGCACACGTTCATGTGCTTGCAGCCACTCTACCATCGCTGTGCCAGTCGACGACGCCAAAAGCCCATCAATCCCAAGTCATCCAAGAGATCCTAGTAGCACCACAGTCTCCAGGTGCCGAACGTTCTTACGAAAGCTCTGCCGGGTCTCAGTACGAACTTGCCGGATGGATCCCCAACAATATGCGGAAGCTGTTCACAACGAGAGCCCGCCGCCTTATGGATCTTCGTACGGATATGAACTTCCTGCAATGCCGCTCCACGAACTGTCAGATAGGCTTATGCTTGCTCCAGAGCTTGAAGGAGACCATGTCTTCGCTGAGCTGGAAGGTCTTATGGAGCGAACCCAGGACCACTCTCTCGAGTCTGACATGAGTCAAGCATCGTTCTTAGATCTGAATGAGACCGACGAGTGCGATGCGACTCCCGTACGACGCTCATCCACAAATGCCGACGCGCCAATGTTACTGTGGGCTTTGAACACCCAGTACCACTCGGTCTCAGCGCCCAGTATGATCAGCGGGCGGCAATCTCACAAGTCGTCGCCATCGCCCGTATCGCCTGTCACACCCGACGTCAACGGCATTTGCTCCGCCCGATTCTATTCGAATGCCAATCGCCCCGTTAGTACCGTATCGCCTCTTGAAAGTTTCCCATCCAACGGTTTCGATTTGCCTAGGTCATTTCAAGTGAACACAGACTGGGACTATTCTTCCCTGGAAGCAAGTCACATGGAGTCTTCTCGAGCAATCGCGCAGCAACCGGTAAAAGGTCTTGATGGGCGACAAGATGACCCAATGGGATTTTCGGTAAAGTTTGGTCTTGCAGACCATGAGTCGCATGTTTCCGGTATCCAATCACCACCTGCACTAGGCCAGTGCTTGCCGGAGCTGCGTTCGCAGCGGCATGACGCCACTGGTATCCGCTTCGGTACCTACGAACTCTCCGAGCACCAGGAATGGCATTTTCGTGGCGGGTATGAACAAGATGCTGCTAAAGATGAAAACATCAAACGTCAGGAATCCGCAGCTCAACAACCCGAATCACTGCAGAACGCCCATCGCTTTGGAGGAAACCAGGGACCGCCTACCAAGTTCGTTGAGCTTGAGGATTATCAATATCCTCAATTCTGCGAGGTTCTGGAACAGAACGGGAATGATGCTCCGCTAGAGCATTGCAATAAGTGTGGCAAAACGTTCCGTGGCAGGTAAGCTTCGCCCTCTCGCAACTCGCTCATGCACAGGTATTGACTTGACTTCAGGTATCGGAAAGGCAACCTGCGACGGCATAATATTGCCTTTCATAATCCAGTTGCTGTCGTAGTCGGATCCGTGTGCCGCGTTTGCCAAAAGGCTTACAGGAGGACCGATGCGACCCGCAAACACGAATGGAAGAAGCACCGCATCCTGGACGCGAT